ATGATCTCCACGTTCATGAGTTCAAGCCCTCGTGAGGCTCCATGCTGATGGTGTGGGGCTTCCTTGAGATTCTCTCTCTCTCCCCTCCCTCTCTCTCTCCCTCTCTCTGCCCTTCCCTACCCACCCCCTCTCAAAATGAATAAAATAATTTGTTTTTAAATGCCAATGGTGGGGGAAACTGGGTGAGAGGTATATGGAAAAGGTAACCCACTCTCCAACTTTTCCCAACAGAAAAAGCTTATTAAAGAAAAAATAAATAACCTCACAGCTAAATGGTGGGACCACGGCACATAACAACTGCTCAGACAATATGGAAATGGGTACCGTTTCCCATTATTTTGTCCTGATCATGGAAATGACTCAACATTCAGCAATGCCCTTAGGTTCATAAATTCCAAGCAATACAAAAACTGATAAAATAGAAAGTGAAACTTACCATAATTCCACCCCCCCCCCCCAATGCTAAGTCTGTGAATTATATTCTGGACTGTTCCCTACCCCTACGCAAACACTTAGTTTAAATTTTTCTACGGACGTGAGATGACGCCTCGCATTCCAGTAATTTGGTCACTGTCGATAGACTCTGGATTTCCTTTTGCATCAAGGTCACCTACCGGGCTCCTCTACCTGAACGGCCATGAGCTCTTCTGCAACACGAATGTAGCAACTCAGCCACCATTTCTTTAAGACGGACTTTAAGTTATTGCTAATTCTCTCCCTGCAAGCTGCACCCTTGTGAGCACGCTTCTGCAGGACAGACCCCCGGCGGCAGAATTCTAAGTGCAATGGCACATTGATAAGGAGTCACCTGACTGCCACGTTGCCCTGACTGTCCCCAGAATTGGCTGGCTCCGCCCCTCCCTAAGGCAGCGGTGGGTGTGATACCCCCCATGCCCGCCTTCACCGCCCTGGTGACTCTGCCCTCAATCAAGGCGGCCATGGGTGGCCACTGTGACATCACAGATGGCGGGGGCTGGGGGGTGGGGGTGGGACATGCTCCCGGACGTCCTGCTGAGATTCAGCCTGTGTTTGAGATGGCAGATGCGGGGCGGCGGGCAGGGAGAGGGTGTGCGACATTTCAAACGTCACACGACGACACCACGCGTGTTTCATGTTGGGAAAATGACAAAGAGTTTTACCCTAAAAGCACCCATTTATCGTTCACTTCTTCAACAAATGTTTGGGTTTCTTCTGTGTGCCCGGTCACTCACAGTAGGAGGCTTGTCACGGTGAACAAAATTCAGTTCCCGACCTCCCGGAACTTGTGTCCTACCTGGAGATAAAGAGCAAACGCGGCGAGTACCGGCTAGCGGCAAGCGCTACATTCCGCAGGATAACAGCCAGCTGCTCGAACAAAACCCCAACATTTCAGATCCAGAGGAGCCCCAGGGGCCCACCTCCTTTCCCCGGCCTTACGACCTATTTGTACGGGTGATCTGATTCACGCAGGGTCTCCGCGGCTAAACCCGAAGGCTTTCTTTCCGTTCCAAGCTTTTCCTGTCCCACTGCCAGGCCTTCAAACCAGCGGACCCCCCGGTTAAGTCTCCGCTCACACGTCCCCTCCTCAGAGTGGCGCTTCTTACACCCTGTGCGTGAGCTTCCTGCCAGTCACCCTGCCCACCGCCAGCCGCCGCGTCCCTGCAGCCCTGCGACAGAGGGAGAGGGGGACACTAAAGAATCGTCCTCCCCTTCCACTCCCCTTCCTGCAGCAGCCCCCCGACTCGACCCCCAGGCCTGCCTTGCGCCCCACAGGCCACATGGTCAGCTCCCCCATGGTGTGGGGACAGAAGTGGAGGGGGTCACTCCCGGGCCAAGGCAGTTAGTTAGAAACAGAGGAGCCTCCTCTATGCTCTCTCCCTGTGTGCAGGGGCCGGACACAGAGGTCAGGACGCCCTCCACGCTGTATGTCCAAGAAGGCTGAGCTCAGCCCGCAGCCCTGAACGACTGTGTGCTACAGAGCCACTGGCCCCCTCCCCAAAGGGACACCCACACTGCACAGATGTTGGCACAGCTGGTTCCTTATCACTCAGCCCTCGGCTCAAACATCACCTCCTCAAGAGGACTCTCCCAGGGGCGCCTGGGTGGCTCAGTCGGTTAAGCGTCCGACTTCGGCTCAGGTCAGGATCTCGCGGTCCGTGAGTTCGAGTCCCGCGTCGGGCTCTGTGCTGACAGCTCAGAGCCTGGAGCCTGCTTCGGATTCTGTGTCTCCCTCTCTCTCTTTGCCCCTCCCCCACTCCGTCTCTCTCTGTCTCTCAAAAATAAATGTTAAAAATAAATTTTTTTAATCAGATCTATACATGAATCATTGAATGAAACGGTACTGTGAACTCCCTTCGTGCCAGGTGTAGCCCTCTTAGTTATTTGGTGGACTTTAGCTTCTAATTCATGGTTTTCCCACCTTGTGGGTTGGGGAGTAGGGTTCTGGAAGTTTCTGGCTGCACCCCCTCTGCAGCAAAATGCACTATCTACTGGCCCGTCTCTCCCTCCGAAGAACCCAGCTTTATCCCCAGGGGCAGGATGCTCTTGAAGTAAGACAAATGATCAGAAGGGAAGTTGCTGGGTGGGGTGTCTGGGAAAGCTCTTTATAGAGTAACGACTCCTTTTGTCCCCCTCCTCTTCTTCCCTCTTGCTTGGACAGTGGATATGGGTGAATTTCCAGCAGGGATGAGGCTAGCCCTGAGTGTGCTTTTGTTCGAATTAGAAAAAAGACTTCTATTGTGAGCAATTAGGAAACAGCTCCTGTGGGCAGAAGCCTGCCTGTGTGTGCTGGGCCTGGCTTGGCAAACAGAGCACAGGATGGATTTCAGTCCCCATTCAATCCCTTTGAGGGCTTTGAGCAGTACACAAAATGCACAACTGTCCACGGTGGCCCTGGCTTCGGACGAAAAGGCAACCTTGGGAACGGAAAGCACTTGTTGAGGGCAGAGCCAAAGATAAAAGAAGCCCAACGCCCTTCAGAAAGGGGGAGCCCTTACACCAGCCCTGGAAGGCCTTCCTCCCGGGCCCTCTTCCTTTTGTTTTAAAAAATAGTTTTAGTAATTGATTTTCAAATAATTTCAAAGTTCCAGAAAAGTTGCAAAAAACCGTACAAAGAACTCCCTTTCACCCAGACTGGTCAAGGGTTAACATTCTATTCCGTTTACCCCACTACACGCTCTCACTCTTTCCGCATGTAGATACCTGTCCATCGCTACTGCTGTTTTTCTGAATCACTTGAGAGCATCCGGCGAAACAGTGTCCCTCATGCCCAAATGTTCCAGTCTGTGAATCCCCAAAACAAGGACACGATCGGCCCAACAACCTCTGACTTTTTTTTTTTTTTAAACGTTTATTTATTTTTGAGACAGAGAGAGACAGAGCATGAGTGGGGGAGGGTCAGAGAGAGAGAAGGAGACACAGAGTCTAAAGCAGGCTCCAGGCTCTGAGCTGTCAGCACAGAGCCCGAGGCGGGGCTCGAACTCACAGACCGCGAGATCATGACCTGAGCCGAAGTCGGGCGCTCAACCGACTGAGCCACCCAGGCGCCCCAGCACTTCTAACTTCTTAAGTAAAATGTAAAACTCACATCCAGAAGTCAGGTACATTGGTTTTCGGTTATAACTAACCAAATCTAATGCTAATGGCTACCCTCTTTATCCCTCAAACTCATGCGGGTCGCAGGAAAGATCACACAAAGCTCAGGGTGGGCTGGCCCTGTCTTGCCAAGCTCGCCCGCGCTCTCCGCCCCACCCACGGGGGTCTCCTTCAATTCCATACACTTGGCAAGCACCTCTCAGCCTCTGGACTTTCCTTTTTTCAATCAAGGTGAAATTCACGTGCTGTAAAATTCACCACTGTATGTTTTGGTTTGTGTTGTAAGTAGGTTCCACCCCCAGCACGGAGCCCAACGCAGGCTGAACTCATGACCCTAAGATCAAGGCCCCAGCCGAGATCAGGAGTCGGACGTTGAACGGACAGGGCCACCCCGGTGTCCCCAAATTCACCATCTTAAAGTGGCTCAGGGGGGCCTGGCCTGGGTGGCTCAGTCAATTAAGTGTCTGGCTCTTGATCCTGGCTCGCGTCATGATCTCATGGTTTCGTGAGCTGGAGCCCTGCTGATGTGCTGATGGCCCGGCGCCTCCTTGGGGTTCTCTCTCCTTCTCTCTCTGTACACCCCCCACCCATGCTCTCCCTTTCTCTCTCTCTCTCAACATAAATCAACTCTAAAAAAAGTGATCCAGGGACACTTCGCGTGTTCACACTGTCATGTAACCACCACCACCGAGTTCCAAAACATTTTCGTCACCCAAAAGGAAGCCCTGTGCCCACCAGGCAGCCCTCAATGGTTCCCTGGTGGCAAGTAACCACTGATCGACTTGTGTGTTTATGGATGTCGCTCTCCTGGACCCTTCATATCAATGGAACCCACGCCGTGTGCTGCCTCTGGACCTCACAGCTGCTGTTCCCGCTCCCGACATGCTTTTCCCTCCCCCGACCCTGACTCACCCTTCAGCAATTCACTTTACCAGCAAACCCCTGGGCAGCTTTCCTATCTCCTCCCTGAGGTCGGCTTCCCCCCAACCTATACCCTTGTAAAAAAAACCTCGGGTTTCCCTTCTCAGCATTTTCCACAATCTTAATTATTCCGTGCGGTTCCTTCAGGTTGCCCAGTTAGAGGATAAAGTCGATTAGGCAGCAACACGTCTGCCTTACTTATCGCGGTATGCCAGGGCCTAGCCCAGAATCGAGCACATACTAGGTGTCCAATAATTTTTTTGGTTGTTGACTGACTGACTGAGTGCCCCCGACAGAGAAGTCCTCTTGTCTCCCCTCTGCCGGTGACCTGGGGTTGGGGCGGGGCGCCGGGCTGGGCCGGGCCCCATCCTGCCCTCACCAAGGGCCTCCCGTATGCCCATATATGGACGCGATCAGGACAGCTCAGGCAGGGTCTGTGAGGTCAAGGCCTCTGTGCCCTCACAATGCCCAGGGCCCCCCCCTGTGTCTATAAGAGGCCCACAAGCCGGGCCCCCGGCTCACAGCCCACCAAGTTCCACCTGCTCACAGGTTGGCTGGCTCGACCAAGATAGACCCCCTGCTCTGAGCATCCCGGCCGGATCCATCTAGAGCCATGGCCAGATACAGATGCTGCCGCAGCCACAGCAGGAGCAGGTGCCGTCGCCGCAGACGCCGATGCCGCAGACGAAGGAGGCGAAGTTGTAGGAGGCCGAGGAAGAGAGGTGAAGGGGCGCGCCCCGGGGTGGGGTGGGGGGTGAGTGGGGCCGGGCCAGGGGTCCCACGGCCCCACTGAAACTCCCCCTCCCCGGTTCCCTCCGCAGTGTGTTCCCGCCGCTACAGGGTGGGGAGGTGTAGGAGAAGATGATCCACGCCCGGGGTACCGGTCCACCACTCCTGCCCGGAATTCTACCAGCCAGTCAAGACCGACCTGCCGCCTCTGAACATGCCACCAGCACCATGACCTGAACAGGAGCCTGCTAACGAACAATGCCACCTGTCAATAAATGTTGGACAAAAAAAAGAATCGCGCCCTCGTCTGTTTTGACGGGGGTTCGGGGTGCGGGGGGGGATGCCGGGAAGAGGGGACACGAGCGGCGGTCACTGGATCTGGCTCCAAGCTCTCTGTTCCACCCCGGTCACCACCATAATCTGCTCCCGCGCCGGCCGGCCCTTTGTGAGTCCCACCGGGGACAGGGACGGGGACGGGGGCGGGTCCTGCTGGCGTCGGAGGGCTTCTCCCTGGCTCTGGACTTGCTCCCTGCCCCGCCCCTGGAGAGCCGGGGAAATGCAGCTCCTGCTCAAGGTTTCACTACACCCCAGTGCCCAGGTGTCTTCTTTTTGAGAACAGTGCTGCCGAGACAGCACTGAATGTCTCCCTAGTTCAGGTCACGAGGAATCTTGCCCGGCTCCTCTTGCCTCCTCAACCCACATGATGCACCGGGGGCTTAAAACCCCAGTGAGCTGTGGACAGTGTTCACGATGGGTTGGGAGACTCTGAGTCTGCTTGGCTCGGTCAGATCCTGGCAAAGCCCAGGGCATTTCGTCAGTCGCAGGGAGCTCGGTGAGAAAGTGACCGCAGAAATGTCGTGGCCGTGACTTCCCTTTATTGAATACCATACATTCATCACGTCGGGGGCTCACACTGCAAGATGGGCATAAATGACCTGGTCTTTTCAGGTAAGGACACAGAATGGGACTGAACCCGCTTGCCTGACCCCGCGTATCTGACTGTATACGGGCAGAATGGCAGGACGGCTGGACGCAGAACACCCCCTCACATCCCGGGGCATTTACACTTAGGGCGGCACTAAACAGCATATGAATGCTAGGGTGGGATCAAGCCCTCTGTACTGGTTTCCTAAATAGCCGCTCTTAACAAGTCCCCACAAACTTCATTGCTTAAAACGCAAATTTATTATCTTGAATTGGGTTTTCTGGAGGCTCCAGGGGAGAAGACCCAGTTCCCTCATCTTTCCCAGCTCCTAGAAGCCACCTGCATTCCCACACAGGACCCAGCCAGAAAGTCTCCCTGCACCTAAGGTGACGTCCACAGGGTTAGAGGTCGGACAGTTGCTCCCACGTTCTGGATTTTACTGGGATCCAAAGGACAGTGAGGCCCAGGAGAAAGGAAGATGGCACAGGCGGAGGGGAGCACCACCTGGGCTGGAGGGGAGCACCACCTGGGGTGGGAAGGGGGTGGAAGGCCAAGGGCACAGACTGATGCCCAGCCTTGCCCCGTATTTGCCGAGTGACCTAGAGCAAGCCACGTCACCTCTTTATGGGAAGCAGGAATTGGAAAGTAAATGAATGCAGTAACAACCCATACAAAACCCCCGATCGCGGCACAGCCCCAGGGTGGGGAGGAAGCTTCAGGAACGAGTGCGTGAGAATGACACCAACTGAGATGGATTTGTACAAAATGTTAGCACTGTCCCTGTGGCCTGAGGGACCCACACACATTTTTTGGGCAAGGCAAGGGGGTGGCCCTGCCGGCTGTGAAGGGACTGGCCAGCGTGGGAACAATGGTAGGGTGGGGCCGCCGAGTCATAGTGGGGGGGCCCCTTTATATATAAGCCCGCAAAGAGCGGCCGGCAGACCAGACCAACATTGACGGCAAGAGCAGGCGGGCAGGCCTCAACCCTCCTCCCCTACCCCCAAGGCCAGCCGTGCCCTCAGCCTAAGCCACCTGCCCCGGGACCATGGTCCGATGCTACAGGAGGAGTCCGAGCGGACACCCACAGCAGGGGCAGGAGCACGGCCAGCATGAGTGCCAGGACAAGGAGCAGGAGCAGGCCGTGAATGCAGAGGACATCCAGGTGGACCGGAGGACCCACAAAGACTCCTGCTACAGACACAGGCGCTCTTCCCAAAGGCGGCGGTACGGGGCCCACAGGAGGCAGAGACGCTCCTGCCAGAGGAGAAGGCGCCAGAGAGGTGCCTGCAGGTCCAGGACCGGAGGTGTGGCCAGTCTCCGCCCCTGATGCGCCCAGGCTGGCACGGGAACCCCACCCCCGGGAGGCACCCCCCCTCCCCAGCCCCACTCCTGACCCGCCCAGGGTGGCCCTGGGACCCCACCCCGTGACACCCGAGTCCTGTCCCCAGAGCCCTGTAACCAGGACTCTTTCCCCAAAGGCCACAGAAGGGTCAGGACAAGGAGGTGCCGGAGGCGACACTAAACCTTCCGGGGTCCATCACACCCCTGGATGGAAATCAAGGAAAAGTCACCCGCCAAAGAACCACCCGGTGAGACCAAAGCAATCCCCTGACGGTGGATGCTCCTTGCCAGCCCACAACATCTTGACTGAAATGCACCAAGGTCATCTGTCAAATAAAGCTCGAGATAATAAATTTGCTGTCCAGTCTCCCTCAGGCACAGATACAAAAAGGGAACAAAATAAACGGTATCCTCCCGTTACGCAGAGTGGGCAAGGGTGTGCTGGGTGGCTGGCAACTGGGAAGCAGGTCTGGCCCCAAGGGAGGCCTTGGAGGCCACTAGAAATCTTTTTTGTGTGAGAGAGACAGAGCACGTGCGGGGGAGGGGCTTGAACTCACTGACCGTGCGATCGTGACCTGAGCCAAAGTCGGATGCTTCACCGACTGAGCCGCCCAGGCACCCCTCGAACGCTTTGGACATTACCACAAATTTTAAATCCTTGTCGTCAGGGCTGTGCTCCCTCCGGAGCAGAAAAAGAATAAGTGCTCAGAAATGACTCCTCACCCCCACTCCCCTGCACCCCGTGCTGAAATTGTGTGACCACAAACAGGAAAACTTCTAGTCTTCCAGAAGTACAGCTTATACACAGGGCACAAGTTATAAGTACACCTGTGCAGCCCTCCCCGTCGCCGGCCCCCCCCCCCCGCCTCCACCGCCAGGTCAAGGAACCAGACATTTCCAGCCTCTCTCCTCCCTCATGCCAACTGCCCCCGAAAGTAACCACTACTCTGACCCGTCCTCACATAATGTCAATGGCTCTCTGGGGCTGGGTACTTCTGGAACGTGGGGAGGGGAGCCTATGTGTTCTCCTGCTTCTGGAAATTCTATCCCCAACGGTCATCCCAGCTAAAAGGGGGACTTTTGCCAGCACAAATGAGGCAAGGTGGCCGGCCTGGAACTCTGACTCCGTCCTGGCCTATAGGTGGTGGGACCTCGAGGGGGGTGCTGGTGGCTGAGGTCTGAGACAGGTGTCAGCCCAGACTCGGGTGTCCGAGGGCGGGGGGCAGGGCTCCAGGGGCCCCTTTGTGATGTCAGCGCCCTGCCTACTGTCCTCACAGCCCCTCCACTCCCTCCATCTCCAGTGGCCTTCCCTCCCGGTCTGGAGAGGCGGCCAACGCGGGCAATGGGTTCCCGCTGTGCCAAGCTCAGCACTGGCCACAGCCGGGACTACGAATCCCCCATGAAGAAGCTCGTGACCTGCGTGAGTCAGGATAACTTCTCCTTGTCGTCCGAGGGGGAGGGAGAAGAGGGGGGAGAGGAGGAGGAGGACGAGGAGGTGGAAGAGGAGGAGGACGAGAAGGAGCTCCCAGTGCAGGGCAAGCTGCTGCTGATACAGGACGAGCGGCAGGAGAAGGGGGGTGCGGAAGAAGAGCCTGCGGCCCAGCAGAGCCCCAAGCCCAAGCAGACGCACTCCTGACCCACGACGGTGGCCCAGGAAGAGGTTCCCACCACTGTTCCGACGAGAAGAACTTTCCAAAAAGAGTCAATAAAAAGTCTCCCAAGGACTTCGCCTCTCTGGTCTCTCCAACCCCACGCCTGCAGTGCCGTGTGTGTGTGTGTGTGTGTGTGTGTGTGTGTGTGTGTGTGTGTGTG